ATGCAAAAATTCATATATTTTTGTTTTCTTTGACAAATTCTGTTTCTTTGTGTATTAAGTATTAGCCGCGATCATTTCCTGTGTATAGGGATTAGCAGTGCCTGAGCAGGAAACGACATGCCCTGGGGGTTTCACACCTGTCTTATAGTATACCTTGGGTAACGCTCGCTGGATTTGCACATCGGTGTCTAGCCATTCAACAACACATTTGATTCATTGTTTCATTATTTTTCATCGATATTATTTTCAGATGCGATATTAGCCTTGGAATTTGTGTCAAATTATTGTTGCTTTTTTTTAAACGGAGTGTATAAAAAGAATAAAAGGGGAAAAAAATCTTTTAAAACAAATTAATGAAGTATTTGATATTAATTAAATCAAATAATGATCCATTACTATGTTATTTCGTGTCTGTTTATATCTGTACCAGTTAGAAGATTGAAAGAGAGAGAGAGAGAAGAAAAATATCACAATATTAAGGCACGTGCATGATCGTTTTTCCTCCTTTTTGATCAGTATATCAATTTCTTAAGTCTAGCGAATAAAACTACCGCTGATTTATCAGTTTATTGACCATTTGTCGAATTTGTCTAAGTTTTATTGTTATTTATCTCGAGACTTGTTTATGATCCACTTTCTTCTTTCGTTTAGCATATTACATCTGAATTACTTCCCTTTTTGTCGCCAGATTACAACGACAGATTTTGGTGGTAAAATAAAATGTATTTTTGTTATAAAATTTGATTAAGAAAAACACAGTATATTAAAATTGTCGAATTATTGAAAATATTTATTTGAAACAAAAAATTTAAAAAGGATTCTGTCTGCAAGAAAAGCATTCTTTATTTCATGCATTTCAATTCATGAGCTACAGATGAAAAAAAACGGCTTCGTTTTACAATGTCGTAGGAAAACGCATACAGGTAATACACTCAGGTAACATCCTGTGTATATAGGTAGTATGTACACTAGACAGCGTCGTTCCCTCGGGGCTTCTCATCCGCTTCGAGTAAGCTCCACTCCACACCAAACTTACCTGAGGGAAACCGAACGGTTACACAGACGGGTGCGTATCATTACCGCTACATTTTCAAAATTTTCATTACCGCTACATAGTCATTACCGCTACAAAAAACCTTACGTTACCGCTATATAAAAAAGTATACATTACCGCTACATTGCCTCTTTCGTTAGCCAGCCACTTATGCGTGTACAGTACAACCTATACATGTACATGCATAAGATCCGTTCCTCCTGCTCACCACAGGGAGGTGAAAGTAGGACTTTGAACAGGATAGGGTTTTTTTCATTAAGGACAGACGAGATGTTCCTTAATAATAGGTAAATTTTTCTAAGAGTTTGTCATTGAAGTATTGCTACTTAAACATGTTTACTCACAAAAAATTGAGGTACCTTACCAGGCATTTCTGCAAGATATCAGGGGTAGTTTTTCTTATATAATCCTTTGGGGAAGAAAAATAATTTTCCAATTTTAAATGTTTAAGTGTATGGATTTTTTAAAAACGTTTAGAAACTGGTTTAGAAATCAGAATGTTACTTAAATTTTGAATATTTTTCATACATTACGAAGATATACAAAACAGATTTTGAGGAACGTCTCGTCTGACCTTAAAAATCAACAAATAATTCGTCAAGGTCTGTTTTGCAGCTGCTTTTGCATCTCTTTTCAACGCATCTCCACAATTTTGAGTTTTTGAAAGTCTTGGTTATTTTTTTTTCTAAATTTATAAAAAAAAAATTGATAAGTAAGCCGGCATTCCCTCGATTTGTAACAAACTTCTCAATGGTGGCCATAATGTTCAGATGACGCTAAATAATTAAATTTCGACCGCAGAGTTATTTATATATAATTATGTACTCATTCTGATTAGATAGTGAGTGAATTCTTTTGATAAGAACAAATGTAAACCGAACTATACCTGGCTAAATCGATATGTAGCGGTAATGAGTTGTTTTTGGCTGATTCAGTATGTAGCGGTAATGAGTTGTTTTTTGTCGGAAAAATGTAGCGGTAATGATCGGTCGAAAATCTGACAAAATGTAGCGGTAATGAGTTGAAATATTTGGCAATGTAGCGGTAATGTTGACCTCCCACACAGACATCTGAAAACTTGAAGCATGGCAACTTGCTCATTAAAATAAGTTAATTTCTGTGTTGTGTGTTCAAATATTTTAAGGGCCCATATTTATGTTTGTGTTTTATTTGAACCGGAAAAATCTGAAATTTATTTATGTTCATAAACATGATTTTAGTAATTTTCGAAAAGAGCAGAAAATAGAAATACATTCAAATACCAGCTATGATATTATTGATATTCTGAATAATACCTGTAATTATTTTATTAACAAGACCCCCCCCCCCCCCACACAAAAAAAATCGTCGATAGTTAGTTCATAGTCTTACAGTGTGGCGCATAATAATGGAGCAACGGTATTCCTACACTTAGGCGTGTTTTGTTAAAATTTAATTGTAATTATGTATCACTATCTATCATCGTTTTTCATGGTATTATTTATAACAGACATGTATACAGAAGTAACGGTACTGTTATAAATGAAACCAAATGACTGATATAATCTCGCAGATAAATAAACACATAGCTACATGTAACTGCAACTGCACGGGCTAATTTTGAACACCGGATTACAGTGCATATTAAGAGTAGCGATATCATGGCATTCTTTAAATTTTAATTATACCTTTTTAGCAATTTGAAGATCATTTGGGGTGGCATTATTGATTTTGAAAATAAACTTTAAGTTAATATATTCAATAAATTATTCGACTTTGTTTCATCCTATACTGTACATGTATTACTGTTAACAGACGTTTTTGAGAATTAATTAATTTTGAGTGACCATTGGTAAAAAAAAAAAGATGTTTTTTTATTAAACAATTTGATAAAACTTAAAAATGAATTTTTAAGGAATCCATGTACATGTAATGGTATAAATCTATGAATATTAATGTGGTCGTAATCCTCTCTCCCCCCCCCCCTCATTTCGACACGATTAAAAATCGACAATACTTTACAGGTTAGAACATCTAAGCTGAAGAATAACGGTAGCGGGCCCCCCGCGGTGTAAACACGGTCTCAGGTAGCACCGCGATCAAAACCCGCGACGCTGTAACGCGGAAAGGATTAATACACCGCGGAGGGGACGCGGTCTAATACGGGATCCGCTTTGCCTGTACTGTAAATAAAGATATTAAATAAACTATAAATTTATCTTATTCATTTATTTTCTTATGTGAATAAATCTACAAATAGACTGAATTAAGAATGAATGAATAAATAAATAGATAAATAAATAAATAACGAGAATTGTATAAATTTATTCATTTATTTGTTTATTTTTTAATTTATCACCCATTTATATCCCCAAAATTTGATTTATTAGTTTTATTTTATTTATTTGCTGAAATATGCTACAAAGTATTTTATTAGCAGATTAAAACGACTTTTTATTACTTTAAGTCCATGATAGATATCAAAATAATCGTCTCATTATGCACAATATTAATCTGTCAATTAGATTTTTGACACATTGATTTGATCAAAAATCGGTTTTCCAAACCCTAACACGGTTCTGAAAGAACATCAAAGCCATTGATGTTTACCAGTAATTAACTCGGGGTACACGGTCATGACACCTATTGTCTTTTTCACTGACCGCTATACCTTGTTTTTGTTGTGGCAGGACGACCGTGTGTAGATTGCAGCTGTTTGAAATAACAATTTCTCTCTGTATGAGAACTGATTTTTTTTCAATCAAAACAAACTAAAAGTATCAAAGAAACCATTGATGGGAAAGATTGTACATAATGAGACGATTATTTTGATATCCATCATGGAAGTAAAATAATTAAAGTAGTTTAAATATGCTTCAAAAATACTTTGATACATATTTATCGTAAATCAGTTTACATAGAATAAGCCAAACAAATCCCATTTTCGGGTATATGATTATTTAATTTGTTTGTATCGTCAATTTAAAAATAAAAAAAATGTTTTTATAATGATTAAATACATGCAGTTAACTAGTTTATTTTTTATTTACTAACTATTTAAAGACCCAATTTTTTACCGTACGGTTACCTGAGGAGGGGGAGTGGTCTAGGTAACAGTGGTGTTATTTACCTGGAGACCCCAATACCCAAGATGTCAAAAATCTATATACACGTAGCATTATACAGGAAGTCTGTGTCTGGTGATCAGGGTCAATATTCCGTGTTTCGTGTCTAAATTTGAGTGAAAATACTTGAAATAATTTAAATATTTCAATAAAAAAATTTCATAAATACTTTCAGTGATATATAATGAAGAAAAAAAAAATCATAAACAGAAATATCGTTTTTATATTTAAAAAAAAAATGACAAATTAAAGAAAAGAACACAGTGTAAAACTACAAAGTAAACATATCTTTTTAAATTAAACTTGTGTAAATATCAAAATAAAAAAAAAATAATATAATAAAATATTCCATTCATAGGTAGGCCTATCCGTCGTGTGAACATATACAATGTACCGTACTACGATGGGAATATTGCCTACGTTCTGATCAACAATAGTGTCGAAAATATTCCCCATTTCCGGGTGTTCGTGTTTATTTTTTTTTAATTGTTTGCAAGATTTCTTTTATACTTTTAAGAATTGATATTTGGCTGTATATATACACTTTTTAATTTCGAATATTGGGTATTGACAGATGTAAGGAAATTCGAACTAAAAGTTACAATCTCGAAACTCATAGCTGTTTTCATTTCAGAACTTTACAACGGAACATGGTATAGATTGTATTCATATATACGTAGATAAAACATGGGATAAATGATTTTTTTATCCGTGCCGTTTGTGCTAAATATCTTTTCTATTATTTTAACTTTAATCGGCAATTAGCGTTACTGTGCACGGACTGGTCTAAATTCTACAGAGCAGATATATTGGACGACATATCGCCTAAAATACAATAAGATAAGATAAGCTTTATTTAAAGTCAGTATGGTAGTTAAAAAGTAACACAAGCTCTAATGAGCTTTTGACTGACATGTTTAACATATACATAACAGTAAAACAATGAAAACATCCAGCACTATATAAACATAGAATTACTTGCAACAATACAGCACACAGTCTAATTTAAAGGACGTCATCAGTTAAAGATACATATAAAAACACACATGTACAGACACATAAACAATACAGCACAGATGCATAGAGAAAGCAACAGGTATACATACATAAGTCACAACATTACAAACATGCGAACAGCACATCGACAGAAACATAAAAAGAACATAACAGGAAAAAAATGAAAAGAAAAACTGACACACATGCACAGACACACAAACAAAAAGGACACAACTTACCTAGTGGAGCAGGCTGTACACACACAGTCCTTACCGCTCCAAGAGGCAATCATAGATTTAAACTGTAAAAAATATGTTTGATATTTAAAATGTTCAGGTAAGGAGTTCCATAAAACTGCTGCTGCATATCTAAAAGACATTTTGCCATATGATGTAGTTCTCACTTTTGGTATTTCTAAAATGTTTGAATATCTAAAATTGTATGTCACTTTCTTAAAACTCACTAAGTCTGACAGACATCTAGGAGAAAGGTCATGTAAAATCTTAAAACATTCCAGAGCCATGCTACGCATCCTTCTACTCTCTAATGATGGTAATTTTGCCTTAAGTAGTAATGACTCATAGCTACTCTCCAAATCTTTATAAAAAAAACGTAAAGTTCTTTCTTGAATTTTCTCAATTTCCTAGTATTTTTCTTGGAGCAGAAGTGCCATACAAGAGGACAGAAATTAAAATTTGACAAAATAAAACTATAAAATATTGTAATTTTGTTTGCCCGAGTTAATACTGAGCCAATGCGTTTTAACACATTTAATTGTTGAGCAGCTTTTTTACAGATATTACTAATATGGACATCAAATTTGAGCATAAAATCAATATCAATTCCCAATAATTTGACAGTCTCAATACACAAAATCTCTGCACCATCAATTTTAAATACAGGGTTCTTATCAAAAGTTTTCTTACCCAAGGCAACTGCGTGAAATTTAGATGGATTGGCTTGCATACAGTTTTCTTTAAACCATTTCAATAATACAGAAATTTCATCTTGTAAAGTATTTATCAGAGTGTCATAATCCTTATGCCAGTATGCTAAAGTATTATCATCTGCATAATTATATAAAGACCCATTCTTAATGAAATAAAAAATGTCATTAATAAAAACATTGAAGAGTAGTGGTCCAAGGATGGAACCTTGTGGTACTCCCTTTTTAATACCAACCCAACTACTGACAACTTCCTGAAGTTTCACTTGCTGAAAGCGCTCAGTCAAATAGCTTCCTAGAATGGAGACAGAATTTGAAGATAAACCATATGCAGAGAGTTTACTTAATAGTATGTCATGAGACAAACAATCAAAAGCCTTAGAGAGGTCCATTAAAATAGCAGCAACATGTAAGTTCTGATCTAAAGCCATTTTCCAGTCTTCAAGGAGTCGCAGTAGTGTAATTTGGCATCCATGACCTTTTCTAAATGCACAAAGTGCGTTGTTAAAAATACCATCAAAATAGTCAGAAAGTTGTACACATAAAACCTTTTCAAAAACATTTGACACGGTTGGTAAAATACTAACAGGTCTATAATTACTTTTTAACAGAGGGTCTTCTTTTTATATAAAGGAATGACCTGAGCTTGTTTCAGTCTATCAGGAAAAGTATCATTTGTATGGATTGGTTAACAAGAATAGAAATATCTTTACTCAGAACAGGTGCTCAAATTTCAGAAGTTAAGCTGATATTGTATCTACACCAGTGGATTTCTTAACATTTAGTTTGTTTATTAACTTGTTCACTTCTTCTTCATTAGTTTTCTTAAAATCAAATGTCTCAGTAAAAGCAAAATTTTCTCTGATGGCATTTTGACTACAATGATCTTTTTCATTAAAAACTACATCTTTCCCTATTTCACTAGCCACATTAGCATAAAATTCATCAAAAGTGTTGCAAGTTTCTATTGGGTCATTCAAAATCTTGTCATTTTCACATAAAAGAATTGTATTTTCTGCGGACTTTGATTTTTTCGATAAGAATGGTTTAATTGTTTTCCAAAAATCTGAACTTGTTTGTCCCCCTACACATCTTTCTTGAAAATAGTTTCTCATTGATACCCTTTTTAGTTTTGTAACATAATTCCTGTGTTTCCTAAACTCTTCCCAATTCTTATCTGTCTTACACTTGTCAAACTTGTTTTTCAGCATTTGCTTTTTATAAATAGCCCTTCTTAATTCACAGTTCATGTATGGTACACTATTTTTATGTTTTCGCCTTTTTTTCCAGGGTGCATGTTTGTCTGCAACATTTACAAATGCTTTTTCAAAATTTTGATAATTTACATTTACATCTGAGGCATCATTTGCTACTGGGGGTGTTTCAAATTTTTGTAAGTCAGAAATATAAGATTGTACATCAAAGCTCTTAAAACTTCGAGTTAAAATGACAGAATTTTTAGAATTTGTGATACTGGCCTTGATAAAAGTTCAAATAAGATTGTGACAATCGCTTACTCCAGTATTAAAATTTAGGGTGTTTTTACATACTGATGTTAATATGTCATCAACAAGGGATGATTCGCAACCCTTTTTAAAACATGTTGGTGATTTAATAATATTATACAGATCGAAAATGTCACATATTTCAGCTAGACATTTGGATTTCTCTTCATTCATCATATCAAAATTCAAATCTCCAAAAATCATGATTTTTTCATAAAAAGAAGTACTTTTTTCAAGAATATTGCACATAGATTTGTTAAAACAGAGCTCATTGAAAGATGGAGGTCTATATACACACAACAAAATCCACTTAATATTACCTAGTGTCACTTCCATAGTGATGGATTCTAAATCTCGGTCCTCAAGGTCTGTTCTTCTCCTAGCTGGAATATCTGATCGCATAAATACTGCCAGCCCTCCTTCATGCCTTGTTCTGTCACGCCGAAACAGTTTATAACCTTCGACTGCAAAAATAGCATCAAGGAACGAAGAGTCTATTTTCGTTTCGCTAATGATGAGACAGTCAACCAATTTATCAATTAATATGTCTTTAATTTCGACAAATTTATACCTTAGACTGTTAATATTTAAGTGACACACCAAAAAGTTATTTAGGGTTTGCTTCCTTGCTTCTCGTAACGTCTGCCAGATGTCTGCATCTTCCAGCTGATCGGTCTCTGAAATTGGGTCACTGGGTTGCGGATTTTGTATATCCGAATCGTCGATCCCGATCGTAATGCGGGATACGGGATCTACAGCATCTGCAGTAGTTGAGGATGAATATGGGATATTGTTTGTACACGTACTGCATGACCATTGACTGATCATCCCTGGCTATATTCATTGATTTATAGCTAAAACCAATACTCTTTGATATCTCCTTAACATTCTCATAAATAAATAAATAAATAAATAAATAAATAAATAAATGAATAACCAAACAAAAACCGAATTATATTCACATTCATTGTTTATTTCAAAAGTACCGTAGAATATGAATGTGTCGATGTATCTATTTTGTAAATGTCCGATATGGACATGGATTCATTTATACAATATTAACCCCTGCACGCACGGATTGAAGTCTAGTTTGTTAAATTTGAATCTTGGAACTTAAGCCCCATATATATTTTTACTTGGAGAATATCTTCCATGATGATATGCTAGGAATATTAAATATAGGTCTTAATTAATTGTTGAAGAAGTTTTACACACTCTCTCAACAGACTTTGCTAAGAAATGCAAACGTATTAAAGAAGTCAAGAGAAAATTTACATCACAATATACACACATTTATCTGAAAATCGTACAGTTTGCCAAATATCTCAAAGTTTACATCCCGAACGTTTTCTTTTATCATTTTAAACCACACTACACTTCAAACAGATCAGCACTAAGTCATAAAAAAATCGATATCAGAAAATAGTTTCGCCTACTGCAGTATTTTGATTTTTGATACTCCAAATATGATACCTTGTACTGCATAAGGATCGTACGAGGATATAATATATACATGTATATCCTGATATGTAAGGATCCACATGAATTTGCATAATTTGACCAATCTGTATATTATTCAAAATATACTCACCGTCAATAGAAACGCAACACCCTAATTTAAGGGGTGAAAATTCAAATTTTCTCTGACATGGCGTAGTGTAGTAACCCTTGTATTTCGGTCAAGGAACTGTCATTCATGGTTTTGAAACACATCAGCCCGAAAAGTCGTTATGTAGTGTATATTTGCATCTGTAGCTTTCCCTTTTCTTTATTTTGAGAATTTCCAACATTAGCAATGAAAATGCGTGCTTTCAGTTACTTTGAGGAAATACAGGCATCACATCCGGAAAAGACAGAAGGATATTTTTCCGGAATTTTAGTACAAGACATATATGATCAACAGGTACAAAACCTTGAAAACCTAAAATATTGTCAATAATTTTATTAAAAAAGCTAATTTTTGATTTCTGTTCAGGGGGCTAAAAATCAACTTCCGGTAATGGAATGAAATTCATTCAATCGTTAAATAACTGATTTGGCAAAGTAAAAGATGTCCTAACTTTTTTGGTACATAGTTATATCCCGCACATAATTTTCACCCCTTAAATTAGGGTGTTGTGTTTCTATTGACGGTGAGTATATATTACATAAAATAAGATTATATTTATTGTCATGATTACATCTGATAAAATATTATAAGATTGCAGTTATTAACCAAAATGGTGCAATTTCAATGCAAAAATGTTATATTATTTATACTGTAGCTCAGTAAGATGCACACTGCATGACGTCCCTTTTTGCGGTTTTGAGTCATGTTATATGTGCACTTGTCTTAAATATACCTCTTTAAAATCCTTGATATAACTAATTCCACGAGTGACATACCTTCACAAACTAAAAAATAAGCGTTCATTGAGTCAATATATTAATTAAGTAAAAATGTAAACCTAAACACTTTATTCTGAAAGAGTAATACTTAGTACATTTAAATTGTTTAAAATATATTAATAGGGCATCTAAATTGTACAAAAAATGTATTCAATCGATAAATTTTCTTTCGCTTGATCAACTGCAATCTTTTTCGAAAGGAATCCGTCTTGGAATAAACATAGTATATACTACAAATATGTGTTTTTTCTGCAATGTTTAGGTCTAAGTGTACTAGATGAAAACAAATCGTATCATACTATAACGCGACAGATAATTAACAGTTAAAATGATTTTGTTACAATCGATGATTTTAATATTCTACAAATTCATTAACTTTCTTCCAATTTTAGCATCTTTGAAAGACTTGTGAATTGTGTCACGTCAAGACTGAATTCTATTACAAACTCGACTTGCATTGAAAAAGACAAGTTACAACTGATCAACGAGATTCAACCTCTGCTAACTCAAGAAGAAAAGGCCTCGTTTATCATTTGTAAGTATTTAAATATTCATCAGATGCAGGGATTTTCAATATGATTTTTTTCTAACTGGGTTATAGAGAAAAAACAGCAGAATCAGTTTTAATCTTGAGTACAAAAAATATAGAAGTGTTCATCTGCATAATTTTTATTTTCTCTCCTCCTTTATTTACGAGAACATGGAGAACAGGTACATAAAACCACCGAAATTGGTATAATTTTACTAAAAATTATCTTGCAAAGATTGATAAATTGGTACCAAAAATTTTTGTAATAAAGATTCAAAGTATAGTCTATTAATTAAAAAAAACATATAAGTATTAGATTGATTGTTTTTCATTGCAAGGCATTATTTCCTTAGACTAAACTGAGATGTCAATAATAGCTCGACGCAGTAAAAAAGTATAAAATCTATTGTGCAATTTAGTACATACGTTGTGGATTTTTTTTATTGAATTACTGGACCGGCAAATATTTTTGGATATTTATAAAATTATATATTTGTATGTATCATGCTAAGAAAAAAAATGATTTGAATTTTGATACCTTGTTTTAGATGTAGTGAAATAGGGAAACCTCAAACTGAAGAACGGACATTTTATCGCGGTTTTTCACTCATTTATGAACCAAAAGTAATTAAATTTTGAAATTGTTATTATTTGATATCCACTTCTCATTTAAAAAATGAAAAGAAAAGTTGGAGTAGACTTTATTGTACTGAAATAGTTGGATATCAAAACCTTCTAAATAGGACTAAATTATATCCAAGAAATTTTATAAGTCGCAAGAAGTTAAGTTTATACTTTTTTATTATATATGTTTCTAAAACAAATAATGCTCCATACATTATGAAAAAATTGCGGGTTCCAGTAATTATTCAACCAAGCCTCTTTCGTTACTCCTCACTAAAATATTGACAGTACTGAAGGAAAAACTTTAGGAGTACTGTGCAACAATATATTCAAGAGGTGGTGTGAATCAGATGTGGATACTCAAAAATTCCAAATAACTTTTGAACAATTTGAAATCGCAAAATTGTACCAAAGTCAACAGTTGAAAAAGATACGACTTTTCAACTTCATATACAACCATTCCCCACGATTAATTAAAGTCAAGGCTTTTTGTTTTCATCGACAGCTGCTTTAATTTTTAAATAAAAATGGAACTCGTAAATTTACTTACCTGGTCATTGGTCATTTGCAAAATTATTTTTTAAAAACACATTCTGATTGCACACACAAGTGCTCTGAAGTCGACATCAAAGAGATGCTTGAGTTTCTGATTGACAATATCTACTGTAAACCAACTTTTATTCGCGTGCGAGAAATTTTCGCGAGGTTCGAGAGAGCCTAGTAATCGCGAATAATTCTCGCCGTGAACCGGTTTTGAAAGTCTCTGTTGTATTAACAACAGATTCAAAAAAGTTTTGATTGCGAAAATTAATTGTTGCGAATGAGTTTACCCCCGGTAAATCGCGAAATAAAGTCGTCGCGAATAAAAGTTGATTTACAGTATCCATGTAGTTTTTTGAGACCGGGTACCAATTGCGCACCGTTATTAGCGGACCTATTTTGATATTCTTATGAAGCAGAGTTTGTGCAAAATCTTATGCCTGAAAAGAAGAAAACACTTGCTGTGGCCTTCAACTCGACATTTAGATATATCGACGACATATTTCTGATTTATCAAACATAAAGGATAATTGGTTTTTATCTTGCCCAATGGCCTAATGCAAAATTTGTACTGTTTGGAAGCAATGGTCGATGCATATTTGTAGGAAATACAGGATGTAATCGTCAGTTTGAGCTATTATGAGATACAAGACTGGATCATTTTCTGGTTGAAAAAATTCATTTAACGTGGCAATACCCCCGTTGATATATTGAAGTTTAATGAAAAAAAAACCAGGTTGTTTTGTCTGTATTTTCTTCCTTTAAACGAGGCGGTTTACAATATCCTTAACCATCGATGAGAACCTTTATTCTGGCGTGGAGCAATCTAAATATGGACTTTTCAGTTTTTGAGTAGACTGTATGAAAAGAACTTTATTCGGTAATAACCAATATTTGCCCCCCAAATCAAACTTTGATGGAGAATCTTTAATTATGTTCTATACAGGGGGATATATGCTGACTTAAAAGCACTGGATATTTTCATAAACAATGACATCATATGTTTGAAATAACGTTACAAAAATGACGTTAATTATCTTGAAACTATAATATGTTATGCTAGTTCTTTCAATGCAGCAGAATACAGTTTGGCGAAAATGTGATGAAGGACTAACTGTTGACTTATATAAGGAAGTAATGAATTAAAGGATACATCGTTTATAAAAGACCAACTGTAAGACCGAAGCCCATTTAAAAACGCAATGACTGCCTTATGTTACAAAATTTTATTGTACTCTATGGGTTTATTATTATAAACCAGTCAGAATTGCTAAAGTACCACTTATATTATGATAATTAATTTTTGAGAATTGAGCATAGTCCTCATTCTTAAGTCAACATAGTTTATAATACATGATCTTATCCAATACAATGGGGTTGGCAAATTTCTTGACAAAACCAGAAAATGGTCTTCTTGCCCGAAAACAAATTTCCCGACATGCATTGCATGTAATATTGCATATTACCCAGATACTCAATTGAGATTACACTTAAAGCAGTCTCCTAGTTAAAATTCAAAAAATTATGCAGCAATTGACTATTATAGCGCCCGCTAGTCATCCAGTGCCTTGAGATCATACCAACAAAGTCAACCCAACTTCAGGTTGTCCCA